ATAATAATAATAATAATAATTAACTTTATTTATAAAGCACTTTCAAACAAAGCGCTGAACACGAGATAAAATCACAAATGACAAGAGGTGAATTCACAAAAAGCAAGATAAAAACACAGAAGAGGTCAAGAGAATAAAAAAAAAACAAATATAAAATTAAGACAAGTAAGATAATTTGAACAGGTGGGTCTTTAACTTAGAAAAAGAAAACCTCTTCAGAACAAGCCTGCCTGATGTCCTGGGGGAGATGGTTCCCCAGAGAAGGAGCATGAAAAGAGAATGTGCAGTATGAAGTTATCAGTTTGTACTTAATTGCACTTAAAAGGAAAATGCATTTACATGCACCATTTGACCTGCAGTAAATAAAACAAGAAGAAAGGGAGACACCTTTTTTCAAAGGAGGCTGAATTTGCAGGTCAGAGATGTAAATCACCTCAACAGGAAGGGACACTTTGAACTTTGACCCCTTTCAACTTCTTACAGCCACCAAAATGTTAAAAGTGAGAGAGTCCCGCACACTTTCTTCATTTCCTTGGATGTTAGAAGTTAATCTAGCATACTATTCAGATATTTATAGGAGTAACATAACATTAACATAAAAAGTTTTATAAAGTATCCTCTCGCCGTGAAAACTACCCGGTAGGTCCGTGGAGAACTGTTCGCACCTCGTCTGCAKGTGTGAGCGGATGAAAGGGGTTCCGCAGGGTCCTCTTTGATCCGGATCTGTCTGTTCTGCAAGGCAGAGGATCACAGCTTCTCACATTCAAACATCATTTGCAACATTGAGGTGAAAAAACCACTTTCTTGGGCAGACTTTAAAATTTAAAGCGCGGAAGTTCTCCGCCCTCCGCCGAAGCGCGATGATGTTGTTGCGCATGTGYGCGTTTGCAAAATAGGTCCTATCTCATGAAATCATGGTTTTAATAAAACTCCCACTGGATAGCTACATCTACAACTGATTCACTAAAATAGTTCAAACACAGCCAAGTTTGCCGATACTGAGCTAAAATTTTATGACTTATTCTGACTTTGCACAATAATGTTAACAGGCCTATTTTAGGTTTTGACCAACTCTGTCAGAATAATCTTAATCCAATTAAATCTCTGGCCTGAAATGTACATTCATTCAAAATCTTTCTTTTGTGTGTGTTTAATCAGTAGTCACAAGGTTTTTTATTTGGAGAATTAAACAGCTTTGACCTTTCTGAGGCTGCATCTCACTTTATTCAGCAGTTAAAATCAGCTGCTGTCAGGCCGGTTTGTTACATATTCACAGAGGTGTCAAAAGCATTCACATTCATTACTTAAGTAGAAGTATAGATACTAGGGTTTAAAAATACTTTTTTGTAAGTAGAAGTATCAACTCGAGCTTTTCACTCAAGTAAAAGTATAAAAGTACTCGTTTTAAAACTACTTAAAGTATAAAAGTAAAAGAAATGAACACTATAAAAAAGAAAATCAACGTTCTGTTCTCTGATTGGCCTGGACGAAAATTCTCCCAAAGAAATCCTTTATGGAAGAAATTCTAGACATAGCAGTGAAGGGAAACTACTACAC